AGAAAGGGAAAGTGAGATAGCAAGTCGCCAGGTCCAGGACTCGAACCATAGTTGGCCATGCCAGAAACCAGCACCTTTAACCACCACGCCATCTGCAGGCCCCCATTTCTGACTTCTTCAACACGTGCATGGAACATCCGTGACCTTAAACACACTTGGAGAGGTGGACGCCGCCTGCAAATACCTGTAGGTTGTGCGGACTAGCTGGCTACCCCTGCACTAACCGGCCCGTTTCCTTCCTAGCTAATGAGTCTGTTTTCTTTCCCTCCAACCCTCTCCCCAGGCGATTGCTTCTCATTCCATCTCTCAAGGCATCCACAACTGCCTCTAAACCACTCTCCCCACCAACAACAGGAAGGAATTAGTTTTCTAATTCCGGTTAGAAGCCGGTTTTTCAACCTAAATCAGTAATGTACAGCTCACATATAACTACGTGCTACCAAAGTCCAACAAGAAAGCGCACAGGAGTGCTGACCTGCTGCGGGGACACGTGCGTGTGCTCCATAGAAGTGGTCTGGTTGTCACCCAGGAGCATTTTCCTTGGAAACGGCTACACTCTGGGGTTGTGAGGTTCGAATAAACAGAGTGCAGATTAAACGTCAGGCAATGCCAACTGGCAGACTGGGAAGGTAGAAATGGGGGTTATTCGTGTGTGGTTGTAGGCACACAGGGGAGGGACATGAATTCAGGCTCAGCTCGGAGAGGCAAGACTGGGATGAGACACTAGGTTGTTTGCAGGGAAGTCTAAACACACACGAAATATCCAGGGAAGGCACACCAAGGAGGGAAGCAGAAATCCGGAACCAGAGAAGGCCACCTAGGATGAGGCGACAGAGACAAGAGAAGTTTCTAGAATTGTCTCCACTGGGAATTGTCTACAGGGAATGTCATCATCAGACCACCCACCCATTGTAGCAGAAAGAGCGTATCAAGCCAGGGAAGTGCCTGCGTAGACCAGTAGCAGACGGATCAGTGATGTGGTGCCTTCTCAAACCAATAGTCTTTAGATACATGTCCAATATGTGCTGCAAGAGGAAGTTTCCGACCAACGTATGCAAGAAGGTTGGGCGAAGTGGCCCAGAGGCCATGTCTCAGGCCCTCCTCCATTGAGACTAACAGCTCCGCTCTGGCCTTAACTTGCATGTTCCGTTCAGCAAAATGAAAGACCTGCAATTAACCAGAGCCACACTCCTGAAATGACATTTGCTTGAGTATAACTCTTAGAGATCCCACCTCCCACCTTCCTCCTAAATGGCTCCCACAGGTCCCTTTAATCCACATCTTCCCTGAGAGGAGTCCTGGTAAATTCAAGTTTTTCCATTTTTCCACATTCACCCTGACTTAGAGCTCCACACAAATGGGTGCCCCGGGCAGCTGTCCATCCGTCCCACCCTCACCCAGCTCTTATTGTGGCAGCAAAGTGCAAAAAACTAGTGTGGCCTCCAACATGACAACTCAGTACCACACACACACACCCCTCTAGCCAGAGAATACACTATTCCCAAATGTTTTAAATGAAAAGCACCTTAAAATAATTTCGTCTGATCTCTGGTTGATCAGCAAAAGGCACAGAATTTCCAAAAGGTCAAGAAATGTGTTCAAGGTCACACCTAGGAGGAGGGCTGGGATTTGAGCCCAAGTCTTCCTGCACTGCAAGTCACTACTATCCCCAAGTGTCACAGCCTTGGGACAGAGACAGGCATGGGAGAGCTGTTGGCATATCTGCATCGCTTGGGACCAGTGGAGTCGGGGAACCTCAGTGATGCTTCATGGACTGAAGGAGTCCGGGAAGGTGAGGCCTGGGTCTCACTGCTGAGAAAACAGGACTGCAGTGTGATGCTAGCACCGGGTCAGCCTAGGGCCCCACACCAGAGCCCTATAAGGCCCTTCCCCCATCATCGGGCCTCATCCTGGATGCTGGTTCTGGCTGCAGGTCACCAGCAAAGGTCATGTGACCTCACTGTGGGAGACGGAGGGCAGCAGACTTGAGACCAGCAGGTCCATGTTCATGGACACACCCAGGAGAAAAAGATGTAGGAAAAGTGTAGTTTGCTTCAAAACAGAGAAGAGGTTAGTAACCATTAGAAAATGGAATGAGCAAGGAAGAGCGAGCCTCCCATCGTCAGGGGTGAGTAAGCAGAACGTGGTGGAAAGGATCCGGGGATCAGAGTGGACGAGACAACATCCAAAGTCTTCCCTTTCTCCGAGACTGGAAAGTGCTCCATCGTACCCAAGCTGGGCCTGCCTGGGCCGCTACTCCAAGTTGGCTTAGGGAACTACAACCTTGCTGAGGAGAGGAAAACAGAGTTTTTAAAGGACTCTATGCACCTCGGGACTGGGCTTGATTTCCCTTCACGGGGGTCATTTTTTTTTTAATTGTCACACCACCCTATGTGCTCAGGCATTGGACTCATCGCTGTATGACCAGCATCTTGCTTAATCCTCATTGCGGCCCTGACACAAGACAGGAGGCATTTTAGAACGGGTGCTTTCAGTCCTTTTTTCCCATGGAGAAACTGCGGTCCCAAAGGGCTAAGAAGGATCTCCTTGGATCTGAAACCTGTGAGGGTCAGAGTCAGGATTCGAACCCAGGCACACTTAACTTCAAAACGAGTGCACTTTGTCACACTGTCCACAGCCATACCGTGTCTCAGCGTTGGACATCCTTGGTGCCGTGCGCTCTCTCTCTGGGACGATGACATGTGGAATTGGAAACTGAGTCACCCGTGTTGGCAGCAGGTCTTGATTAATGCTGGGCTCATTTTACATTTCCTCATAATCAGTCCTCTTAATATAGAACAGCCCCTAAGGATAACGATGGCAAATGTTTTGTTTTTGTTTGATTTGACTAGAAAAAAGAGGACAGCCAAGGAGGTGAGGTAATGGGGAGAGCACCATCCACCCAGCATTCTCCTTTGCAAGGCTTCAGGAAGCTCTCGCATGGACCAGCGCCAAGCGTCCCCACTGGATTTTCCAGCTAACATGCGAGGGTCACCCAGTAACGTCGTCTTTACCTTCCTGGTGGCAGAAAAGCAGAACCAGCCTAAGCAGGGCTCCCCGGTGTCCCTGAAGCTTAAGGAAGACTTTCAGAACAGAGGGAATACCAGGCACAGTGGCAGACACACTGAGGCAAGACAGAAACCGACACTGACACCCCAATGCCCCCGTATGCTCAGGTTTTCTGTCAGCATCCTCCCACCTGGCCAATATCAAAAACGAAATCAAGTTGTTTCTCCCCTTTGACTCCTGCTGGGCTTGATCCAGCCAACACAGCATTTAGCACAGAGCAGGCACTTTGTACATACTGTGAGTGGGTGTACAAAGACGACCAGGGCAATGTGGTCCAGAGTACTGAAGTTTAGTAACCGCCTCGTTTATATTACCGGAGGGCGTATGCATTTGCTAGAGAGACAGAGGGAGGAAGCACCCCTCCCCCAATGGGACGTGCTCGCGTTGCAGTTCTGTCCCCACTCTCCACCCTGTCAGGATTTTAGGCACACAAGCACATACCCCCAGCATGTCCTCCCCGTGATCAAGGCCAGAATTGAAACCCGGTCATCCATGTAGGGTCCCATTCCCAGTGCACAGGGCTTCACCACTGAGATACGGGGCCAGCTCAGAGTATCAGAATGTTTAGAGCAGCTCGTGTCCAGATCAATTGTCATGAAGAAAATCATGGCCATGTGGGGTCTGGTTTCCTTAATCACAGGGCCATGGGCCAGAGGGCAAAAGCTTCTTTATAAAAAGTCTCGTCAGAGCTGAGAATAAAGTTACACTTAGATAGTAAATAAAGCGCTTATGGAAAAGAACCACCACAGAACTCACTGCCGTCCTGGAAGTCCACAGCTGCCTCGTCTGAGCGACACTCCGGTGACCTGGTGACGCTCGGCTGGCAGCAGGACGAGAACAAGAGTGGGTGGCAGTGGCCAGGGCAGGTGCAGCCCAAAGGGGAAGA